TATGCCTAGAGGAGGTTAATAGGCCAATTTAAGATTATAATCAAATAAATAAAAATAAACTTCGGTAGCAGGATTGATATGACTTATCAATCCTGAAACGTGCTGGGCATAAAATAAAAGAACACGCAGAGAATTATTTTACGTGGTAAAACCCCAATCCACGGGACTCCTCAGTCCAACACAAATCCACTATAAAATGATGATTACAAGAAGTACTCACACACTTATCCTAGACACATTCTAGATAATGTTTACCGACTTCTTTGTAACTCAACTTCTGTCACGGGATGATCTTCGACACTCCTTATGTTGAACGCAATACTGGTCACGATTGCTTTAAGCTCACCGGAGGATAAACGCCACAACAGTCTTGGTGTCCTCAACCATATGCGTCACCGACATGCATATATATGCAATATGAATGATGAATAAATTCGATAAGTCACCAAGCAACAAAGGAGCACTTGATGAATTACCAAAGAAAATAAGCACGACAGACTTTTCCTCAAAGATTCAATATACTCAAAATATGATTGCCTTGAAAAGTGAGTTATGAAACTAGTTAGCCGTCCTTTTATTCAAAGTGGGTTTCTCACCCTCGTGAGAAAACCATGTTGCCACAATTTCCATGCAACAACAACTCTAAATCCTATTCAACCTAAAACACCTAAACATGATGCAAAGGGAATCTCTACCTAAGGAGAAATTTTTGTAGGGATCTGGTACACCAGCTGGTTGGTGTACCCATCAATAGGAATAGGACACGTGTAATAATTTATTTTTAGCTTTAAAATTGCAGTAACTTTTAACTCTGTTAGCCTTTTAACTCCATTAGCCTTTCGCTGCATCTGTTAGCCATTTTTTATTTATCAAATTTCAGTTTTTCAAACAAAACCCTAAAGATACAAATTTTCTCTGACACTAACCCTTTTGCCGTCAGATACAGCAGCCTGCTGTACGTTTTCATGGACAAAGAAAAAGGTGATGACCTGCACCCTACTCCCACATGTCTTTACTTTTTTAGTTTCCGGGACTGTTTCATGAGTTGTGGTTTCATTGGATTATTATATTGTGGTTTGAGTTACTTTTGAGTGTAATATACATATATATTTTTATATATGCTTTGCTCAGTTACTTTTGGGTTACTGTTTCATGAGTTTTGGCTCATTAGATTATTATATTGGTTTTGCTCGAGGTTCTTTGAACATTGGGGGTTGCCTCCCCAAACATCAACTTATGCATATGTATTGGCTTTGCTCCAGCATCGTTTTTTAATTTCTTTTTTTTTTCTTTTAATTTCTTTTAATTTCTTTTTTTTTTCTTCCTATAGTTATTCATTATCATCTCACAAAATCGGGGCTCCTGAGCTGATCAAGCTGTTTCTTAGCGCAGCGAAGCAAGTATTCAATGTAAGGGAAATTTTTGCGGTCTACCTCCTTGGCATTGCAGCGGAACTCACTTGACACAAGTGACTCAATCTGTTGTCGATCTTCAGCAGATTTGGCACGGGCTGCCCTCAGAAACCCTCTGTATAGACTAAGAACTTGTTTCTGCATCCCAGAAAGCCTTGGTGGACTAGAGGCTCCCATTGCTTCTTCTTTTGTTTGGCACCAGATTCGCTTTTGAGAATAACTTCTAATCGTTATGGAAAACAAAAGCAAACGCCTAAGAACCCAAAACCAGTGCTCTCTCCAATCCCAAACCCAACACTTCCAAGCGCACCCAAAACCCCATCAATTCCTCACCCAACCCTCACTCTCTCCCCAACTTCTAACCACACCCACCTCCTCAACTTCCTCAAAACCCATATAAAAAACCCACCATTTCGACCCCAATCTTCCTCAATTCTCTCTTTTGCTCATATTGTGCTTTTAAGTTTAACAAGGGGGAGTTCGATAATTTGGAGAACAAAAGAGAGAATTGAGAAATAAAAATGGGAAGACAGCAAAAGCCTAACTGAAGATTGGTCACAGAGACAAAGTTAAAGGACTAACGGAAGATTGGTAACGGAACAAATAGTTAAAATGCTAAAAATAAATTATTACACGTGTCCTATTCTTATTGGTGGGTACACCAGCCAGCTGGTGTACCGGGTCCCTACAAAAATTTCTCCTACATAAGACGTCCAACCCAACAGCTATTCAAAAGCTGTCCAATATGAATATAAGTTATGACCCAATGAGAATATAACTTCTAATTCAATATGGACTCTTAGGAAGACACCAAACAGCCACTTTTATAAATAAACAATTCTCTCCTAAAACAAGATAATTAGGAGATACACATGATGCACGTCACTACACCAAATGCTAATAATTCAACTTAAATCACAATGACGTTGAAAAGAACTTCAGCCGAAAATCCTATTGTGAATGCATGATTATGTCATGATTTACCTGAAATCAAGTTTCTCATATTTGCCAAGTCGTGCCTCGGAAGTATGGGATTGAATGAGTTGTGCCAAAACGTCCAGTAACAATTCCTCACAACCTAATTTGCAACCTATGCTAGAGTCTAGGAAATGACAATACAATGTTCATACTAACATTATACAATTTAAGGACAATTAAAGAATTCTGTCAATTTTATTCACATCGTTGGAGGTATTTATCTCCAAAGGTTAATTATTTTATTAGTCCCATCAGCTTGAATAAAATGATTGAAATGACAATATTGGACATAAAACATAGAGCACATGTTATAGTTAGTTATCTGTTAATTACTGTTTAATAAGCTTTCGATTATATTGAAATGACAATATTGGACATAAATATCTCTCAGCTAAAGTTTGTTACTTTGTCACATGGAGGGCACGTGTTATAGTTAGTTATATGTTAATTACTGTTTAATTAGCTTTAAGCTTTCGATTATATGTATATAAGCTTACTGTAACTATTCATTCAGACATTCAGACAAATCAATACAAAAACTCTCGATCTTTTCTTCTTGACTAAGCCTGAGAAACGCAATACCAAACGGCGCAGATGGACCCAGCAACGGAAGAAACACCGGACCTTGCTAAATCCGAGAATCTCGGACTGTTTCTGAGGATTCGGCCACTTCTGCAGAGTGGCGTCAGGGGAGATCGGAACCCGAGATTCAGAAGGAAGTCGGCGTTTGAACCTTGGTTTCAGAAGATGTGCCTAAGGGTTAAAACTTCCCGGTCGGTGACGCTATCACCACCGCTGGCCTTGGAACGGGGCCGCACCAAGACAGAGGTATATAACGGCTTTTCACAAGTCTTCTCCCCTGATTCCTCTCAGGTGACTTCAGTTCTCCCTTTTCATTTTCGGCTGCATTTCTTTTTTCTTGCTATTATGTCTACCTATTTTTGTCTAATTTGTGTTATTGTTGATAGGAGGAGGTGTATGAGAAGATGATGAGCCCACTGGTGGAGGATTTTTTGAAGGGCAATAGTGGGATGCTTGCTGCATTCGGGCCTAGTGGCTCTGGAAAGACTCATACAATTTTTGGGTGCAACAGCCAGCCCGGTATGGTGACGCTTGCACTTCAACAGATTTTCAAGGAGACTTCTGATTCTGCGAGGTATAATTAGGGTATCACTATGCTATTACATAATTATTTTCCAATTTTACTCAATTTATTATATGAAACATGTTTAAAAAAAATAGAAAAATTTGATAAGTATGTCAATTTTGTAAGTTCTATTTCACATGTAATCTATAAGCACTAACCTTGAGAAGCCATTAGAGCAAGCACAGCAACAGCAGCAAAAACACACGAACTGGCCCTGGTCTTCCTCTCTTTATGCACTCTAAATCTCTCCTATATGGGTAGGAATATGAGTCTGTTTTTTCAGTGCATAAGAGTGGGGACCGAAGCCTTAGTTTTATAGGGTGAGAGCCTTGAGGTTCCTAGCCCATAAAGGAATCCTTAAAGCTTATTCTTATCACCTCATGAGTCCATAGCCTAATATAATAGATATTCCACAAGTTAGATAGAGCTTCAACTCTATCAAACTTATCCATGTAAACCCAGCTTATCTCTCCCTTGTATCCTTGATCAAATAGGAATCCTAAATAGATGTGAACTCAAATAGAGTTCTTACAAATTTTACTTAATTAGGCACTTGATTTTTCATTGCAAATATAGAATCATGTTAGTTTAAACAGATATGAAGCCATAATCTGTTAGAAATATGTGAACGCTTTTTATTAACCCAATCAGTCCAGTTGGCAAGATGTTTTGTAATTAATTTAGGATTTGAGAAACAGAAGTATGTTTTGGACTTAAATTGAATAATTTATTTTCTTGTTGATATGAATTCAGTCATAAAATTTGAATTAGGAGAAAAAATGCATAAAATTGAGATTTTTCAATTTGTTTCCTTTTTTTACTTCAAAGGGCAAGTTGTGCATAGAAAACGAGGAATATATGTCAATGGATGTGTATCAACAAACAAAAGAATACAGATTAGACCTAATACCAGCCAAACCTTTTGGACTTGAATCTGACAACCCCTTTATTTTATATGATATCTTCTTTCTTCTCAGGTCATTGTTCATATCAATCTTTGAAATAAGATGTGAGGGAGGCAAGGAGGAGAGGGCATTTGATTTATCCCCAAATGGAGTTGATTTAACCATGCATCGATCAACACTTAAAGGCCTACATGAGGTAGGTTGAGTACTACCTTTGAGTTGTTTGAATTATGTGGTTGGATATTAAAAATAACTAGCACCTACTGTATTTTTGTGAACAGGTCGTAATTTCTGATTGGAGACATGGAGAGTTTGTAATTTCTCAGGCACTACTCAGGCGTGCTACTAGTCCAACAAATACTAATAGCCAATCAAGGTGTGTGTAACCTCTTCAACTTATAATTTTTTTTTACATTAATTCGAGTTTCCATGTTATTGATGAGCTCAAATATTTTATATTTTGGCTATTTTTTCTGCATGGTTCTTACATTCGATAAGTATTATGACAACTTTTTCTCTATATGGTTGTAGCCGGTCGCAATGTGTTATTAACCTCCGTATTGTTGATGACAAGTCTAATGGAGAGGTTAAGGATCAAGCAAATGATGGTGTTCTTAGTATTGTCGATCTTGCTGGAGCTGAAAGAGAAAAAAGAACTGGGAATCAGGTTTCACCCATGTGACTGAATTATTCTCACTAAACTAGCTGTGGTTAATGTTGAAATTTGTTCAATTTTGGTTGTTCACTGCATCCCACAAGGCATGATATATATACTTTAGAATCGTTATCACCATTTTGTCAGATTTATACTATTACTATTTTAGGATGCTTTACTTAATGAAGGGTTGTATTGAACTAAAGGATCCCATTAGAATAAATGATAACACATTTTTTCTATTTCCTTTTCACCTCATTCTATTTATCTTTAGATGGCAACATAAGCAGTTTTTGAAATTGATAGTGAAATGCTTGAATTGGTTTTGACATTTTGTGTACAGATTAAATTTTTTGCACAAGTCAATGTATAGTCTTGATTTTAAATAATTATTTTGTTTATGGCTTAGGTTTTTTCTTTTAATTTGCAGGGAGTAAGATTGCTTGAAAGTAACTTCATAAACAAAACATCAATGGTCTTTTGCTTGTGCTTGAGAGTATGTAGCCTTAAGTTGGTTTTTTCGACCTCACTCTTCATCTGCCCTTGATCATAATTAGTTTACCATTTTACTTGCTTATTCTTGGCAACTTATAAGGCCCTTATTGTTTTCCTCGCTCTCTATATATGTGTGTGTGTCCATGGTCTTATCCATTTCTTTTTTTGTTTTAGTCTTTATTGGAGCATCAGAAGAATCCAATGAAGCCATTGGAGAAGCACTTCCAGGACTCTTTGGTATTGTTTTCATTTACTGATTTATTCTTGTCACTAGTCCTTTGTTTGGCTCTAGTCTTTCGATAACTTCAATGCAGTAGCTTAGGATTTACTAATGTGTTTTCTGTCTTGGGACAGTTGACCAAGTACCTGAGAGCTTACATGGAAGGCAAGAAAAGGATGGCGTTGGTATGTTGTCTTATCACCACCTCGTAGTTCTGCTGTCTTTAAAATCATCTCACTGCTTTATTTGTTAATTATGCAGATCTTAACAGTGAAAGCAGGCGGAGAAGATTATCACAATACGTCTTGCCTGCTAAAACAAGCCTCACCGTATATGGAGATCAAGTAAAATCCTCCATCCCCAACCCAAAAGAAACTCATTATATGTAATTTTTGTTTTTTTTGTACAAGCTGTTACAGTTTCTGTATTATGCATTTAGGTTTAATAATGAACCATCAAAGAGAAGGCTTTCTCCAAGCTTTGTTTTGAAGGGGTATAAAGAAAAACTCGAGGTAATCCAATGATGCATGAGCATCTATTAGACTTTCCTAATCTAAGTAGGCTCATCAGCCAATAATTTTAGTTATATTAAATTAATAAATTATTTTGTTAATTGCTTTCCTATTCTTATTAGAATTTGTTTTAATTTCCTGTTTTAGTTTTTAATTTCCCTTTTTAATTAGGTTTTCTTAATAAACCAGGAATAGGAATGTTTGGCTGATGTAATCTAGTATAAATATAATTCTAGACTTTAGTATATAGAAGTTTCTTTTGGGATTTTTGCCCTAGAACTCAATTATTTTTGTTCCAACTTCCTATTATATTGCTTTATCCTTATATTTTCTGTGTTTTGGGAATGCTTGGGTTGCTGACAGAAGCTTATAGATGCTTCCCTGCATCAAATTGGTACCAGAGCATAGGTTAATCCTTGCTCCACACCATGGTTGGACGTGCTAGAGGTCATGGACGAGGAAGCCAAGCCCAACAAAAAGAGATGGTTGAGATGTGGCAAATGATCGAAGATTTGTTGAGAGTGGTGCAAGCCCTCCAACGACAGGAACACGCGGATGCTAGATGTCTATATGGACATTTCGGAACGCAACTGCAAACCCTTAAGACATACCGGAAGGTGGTCTTAAGGATGACTTGAAGAAGATGCAAACCCCTTTCATGAAGCTGGAAACCATGTTTTCAAGTCAATGATTGAGATTGGCTGATGATCAGGTTTGTGATAAATTACAGAATTTTCAGTAGTTTCTTGTAGGGGTAGGCATTCAAACCGGCAAACCAGAAAACTGAGTTGACGAAAATGTCAACAACTGGTCAACAAACCGAACCGAACCAGTTCTGGCTGGTTCCGGTTCCAATTCCATGCCTTCAAAAACCGGACCGGTTTGAATATAATTAATATATGCAGTGGGCCTTATTTTACCTAAACCTTCCATTCCCAACTTCAAGCCTAAACAATTGGCCTAAACCTATCAATTATACCTCAATCCCTAATCCAAGCCCACTCCAAAAGAAAAAGTACTTTTCTTATCCCAAGACTGAAAAGCTTCTCTGTATTTCTTTTTTCTTTTTTCTTCTCTCTTTTCTCTCACCCTAGCTAGGTGCTTTCTCTCTCTCATTTTCTACATTGCACATTTAGTTGTTTAAACTGGCCCGGGTTTAGAGCCCAAAAATGTAAAAGAATTCAGTTCGGCTTGAAGCTCTGAAAATTCAAAATGGAAAAAATTATCAATTGGGCTTAGAGCTGGTCCAACTAGGGAAACTGAAACCAAACCGGATTTAAACCAGTGCGGGTTGGTTCTGTTTAGTTAGTACGTTTTTATGAAAATTGGTCTGAATTGGACTGGATTTCGGTTTTGAGTGAGAACCGAACCAAATCGGACCGTGCCCACTCCTAGCTCTGATCATGATCATGATGGGTGCGTCGAGATATATGCTTGCTATAATATGTATGCAATTATAAAACCACTAGCTAGGAGCAGGCACGGGCCCAGCCCTGTCTAGATAGGGCTGAAGCTCGACCCAAATGTTTGGAAAACTTCCCCAACCTTATTTGAAAAATACACAAGGGTTATTCGTAGCAATGGTCCCTCAACCATACTCGAAGTTACATTTTGGTCACTCAACTCAAATATTAGTTGCAGAGGTCACTCAATTGGGTGTTGTGTTGCACCATTAGTCCCTACCGTCAAGTCTGTGACTTTTTCTGTTTAAAATGATGACGTGACAAGCATCTCTTAGATTATTGATGGGCAAATGTGACTTTTCAGTTTGGGTTATTTGTAGCAATGGTCCCTCAACTATACTCGGAGTTACATTTTGGTCACTCAACTCAAATATTAGTCCCTAATGGTGCAACACAACACCCAATTGAGTGACCTCTGCAACTAATATTTGAGTTGAGTGACCAAAATGTAACTCCGAGTATAGTTGAGGGACCATTGCTACAAATAACCCAAAACATAAAATAGCCTAGCTCCGGTTTTATTCCCCAAGATAAAAAAAAAGACAAAAAGGAAGAAGATTCTCTTCTTCTCTCTCCAGCTAAGAGCCAACACCTGTGACCTTCGTCAGCTCAAATTTTTTTCTTCTTCTTGTTGTACACTAATTTTTATTTTTTTTAATGGAAGTTGTGTTATTAAGTTATTATATGCTTAGGTTTTATATATCACACATAGATTATAGTGTATAATGTCTAATTAAAATCCCAAATTAAGAAAGACTATTCTATTATTTTTCAATACAAAAAATGAGGGTCAATATCAACACCAACATTCTTCTCTATTTGGAAAATGTCATAAAAACAAAGTAAACTTTGCTGAAATTTCAATTAGAAATGTCTGATTGTAAAAATTGGCCTAAAAATTAGCCCTAGTCATTTTTGAATCATGGGTCTGTGCCTGGCTAGGAGACATGTATTTAAGATGATCAAAGAATCTTTGACTTAATGACTTGTGATTATAACTTGAAAGTAAGAGTGAGTTAGTCATTTCTTGTAGGAGGCAGAACAAAAAATCCAGCACCTCAGTGAAAGCAACCTTGAGCTTGAAAAGGAGCTGAAGGATCTCAAGTCACTGATTGAGGTACAGAGGTTGGCTGATGATCAGGTTTGTGATAAATTACAGAATTTTCAGTAGTTTCTGGTTGAATTTGGATATTGGGTGTGCGTTTATGTTGCTTTCATTGATAGTACTTACTGATCATGATCATCATGGTGTGTGGAGATATATACTTTCTATAATATGTATGCAATTATAAAACCACTAGCTAGGAGACGTGTATTTAAGATGATCAAAGAATCTTTGACTTAATATCTTGTGATTATAACTTGAATTTGTCAAAGGACAGGAATTTATAATTAGTTTAACGGGCCAAAGAAAAGGAATTTATAATTAAGCACATATTTTTCTAAAGCTACACATCAAAATAACATTGCTTTCGCCCTAATTTTCGTTATGAAAAAGAAGGAAACATAAAAGAAAAATATATAAAAAGAATGTATCAAATAGGTTGCTTCAAACACCTGGAGTAGAATACGTGTATTTAAGATGAACAAAGAATCTTCGACTTAATGTCTTGTGATTATAACCTAGCTTAAGTGAATGTTTTGAGGTATTTATATTCATGTTCTATTAGAAAATATATTATTGCTTTTTCACTGAAACTGATTGATTTTAGTTTTGTCACTGTAAATATGTCTCGTCCTTTTTTTTTTTCCTTTTGTTGTTGTAACTCTGTAGTATAATGTAATATGATGCTTCGGCCCTTTGGTTATTTTGGTTATTCTCTTGTAACTTGTAATATGTTTTTAACATTGGGCCCAGCTATATATTGCTTTCGCCCTTTCAATTTGAAACACATGCCATTTTTTGTTTTTTTTATACCCATTTTGCAATTGGTCGTTTCTCTTGGAAGTAAGAGTTTTTTTTTCGGTCGACTTGGAAGTAAGAGTTAATCATTTCTTGTAGGTGGCAGAAAAGGAGGTGAAGGATCTTAAGTCACTGATTGATGTACAGATTTCTGGTGATGATCAGGTTTGTGATAAATTACAGAATTTGCAATAGTTTCTGGTTGAATTTGGATATCGGGTGTGCGTTTATGTTGCTGTTATTTATAGTACTTTACTGATCATGATCATCATGGTGCATGGAGATATATACTTGCAATTATAAAACCACTAGCTAGGAGATGTGTATTTAAGATGATCAAAGAATCTTTGACTTAATATCTTGTGATTATAACCTAGCTTAAGTGAATGCTTTGGTAATATCATTTTGTTTTTTGTTTTTTTATACCCATTTTGCAATTGGTCGTTTCTCTTGGAAGTAAGAGTTTTTTTTTGGTCGACTTGGAAGTAAGAGTTAATAATTTCTTGTAGGTGGCAGAAGAAATCCAGCGCCTCAGGGAAAGCAACCTTGAGCTTGAAAAGGAGGTGAAGGATCTTAAGTCACTGATTGATGTACAGATTTCTGGTGATGATCAGGTTTGTGATAAATTACAGAATTTGCAATAGTTTATGGTTGAATTTGGATATCGGGTGTGTATTTATGTTGCTGTCATTTATAGTACTTACTGATCACGATCATCATGGTGCATGGAGATATATACTTGCAATTATAAAACCACTAGCTAGGAGATGTGTATTTAAGATGATCAAAGAATCTTTGACTTAATATCTTGTGATCATAACCTAGCTTAAGTGAATGTTTTGAGGTATTTATGTTCATGTCCTTTATTCTTCTATTATGATTGCCTAAATTTTGTTTGTATTTGCAGTTGGATGACTCAGTAGTTGAAGACCTGCCTAGCCCAAACAAGAATGCCATTTCCCCATCGAAGGAGGACAATGATAGACTTGCTAGGAGAAGAAAAGTAAACAAGTGGTCCTCTTTGGAAGTGGACACCTTGAGGGCTGGTGTTGAGCAGTATGGAGTGGGACGTTGGAAGTTGATCTTGACCAGCAACCAGGACATCTTTGGAGAGAGAACGCAGGTACCAAGTTGTGTAATTTTTTTCAACGGCTCCTAGCTTAAATTTTATTCTATAATTTGAAAATGTTTGTTTTCATGATCTAGGTTGATTTGAAGGACAAGTGGAGAAATTTGATACGGCGGAACACACACCAGTGATTAGCTTGCTAGTTGGTTATGATGCATAGATGTTTAGGGTTTAGCTTGCTAGTCGGTTATGATGTAAACATTGTAACTCATTCCAGTGGATTCGAAGACATGGTGCAGGCAACATTTAATACAACATGATGAACATTGCTGACAACTAATTTGCAGAGAATGTTTTTTTTAACTCTAAATCCTGTTCCATGGTAATTGAAATGTAGTCGGCAAATGAGAGTAAATAGAGTGTTGATATCAACTTCTTAGTTATAGAGCCCCATTAATAACCTTTTTTAATTTTTATTTTTTATGAATACGTAATTATCATTGAACAGAGAGTTAGAGTGCAAACTATCGAGCTTCTGTAGCAACTGAAACAGGCAACAAAACCAAACAGAAGCGCTGACCATAGAACAAAAAGGCAACTGTATACCATGGAAACAGTAAGGCAACTGAACAGAACGCTCATAAAAA